TGTGGGGTACCGCCAATTGCAACTGCCCGGCGTGGATAATCAGTTTTTACCCGCATCATTTCATATAGAATGAAATACGTACTTTACGCATTGCATAATTATTTAGTAAGAGATAAGGAAAGAGAAAAATGACTGGAGTAATAAATCTGATAAAATATTATTTGTCCAATGATGGTCATTAAAAAATGTGGAGATGATCAACACAGTGAAACTATTTATGGAATATTTTTTTATAAAAAAAAACTAACATTACGTTACGTAGAAAAAAGTGAAGGATAATATTATTATACAGTATATATATATATATATATATATATAAATAGTATTATACAGTATTATATATAGTATATATATATTATATTATATATATAGTATTATATATCTTTTTTTTTTTTATATATATTTAAGGTGAGACCAGTATTATATATCTGTACAGTATATACATATTATATATATTATAATTACTGTATTATGATTATTATTATATTCTGTTTAAAATATAAAATTACTAATTAATAAGATTATATTATTTAAAAAAAATATATATTGATTAAGCAAAATAAATCGAGAAGTAAATAATAACTTTTTTCGTATTCATTGAATGCTGAAATGAAAATAAAAAAAAAGTGATCTAAATAAATGAGGCTCCGGGCAGCTAGTGTAGAACCTTTAAATTAGGCACCAAAAATGTAGTTGTAATCTGAAATTAAAATCTCTAATAAATAGGCAGAAGATTTGGCCTAACGAGGTCACCTTAAAAAAAATAAAATAAAAACATAAAATAAATGAGGTCACTTACTAATCTAGATTAAAAACTTTTTATAAAGACTTATATTTAATTATTGAAATTCCTTTGCCGTGGAGTCACCATAATTGTGTCGCCATTGATAAAATTATAAAAACCCAATATTCCTTTTTTTTTTTCTTTTTTTTTCTAAACACGAAAACCTTTTTGAAATTTTAAAAATGAATCAATCTCAACCTTTGATACCTCAACCTTTAACACCACAACCTTTGATACCTCAACCTTTAACACCACAACCTCTGGTACCTCAACCGTTAATACCTCAAAGCGTCGTAACTTCATCTTTTGATGATCTTAGTGCTGAACAAAAATATGAAAATTTAACTAAAGGTACAACAGATCTATTCAACACCAGAACACAAGAAACAGAAAATCGGACAATTCTTACTGATATTTTTTCAGGATCTTCTTTTCATTAAGCAAAAAATTCCGATCTTTTTTTTTGAAGAGCTTTATTTTTTTTTTAAAGAAAATGAAATAATTTATTTGAACTATCATCTTAATATGCAATATGACTACTATAGCGATAGACACGAGTGAATTATCATCTTCTTAATATGCAATATGACTACTATAACGATAGACGCGGAGAATTATCATCTTAATATGCAATATAATTACTATAGCGATAGACACGAGTGAACTATCATCTTAATATGCAATATGACTACTATAACGATAGACAATTCGTATTAGCGTTTGCATTCGGCAAATGTGTATTAATTTTGTACATCGTGGTGGCTAGATAGTACTAGAGCAATATGTAAGCAAAAAAATATGAACGAATTTCAAATTTATAATTACAGTGCTAACGATAATGTATAAAATGATAATCTAATTAAATAGTGAACATTGTTTTATAAATAATATATTTTTTTATTTGCTTCTTTCTTTTGTGCTTTCATTTTTTATTGTTTTTTTTTTGTACTAAGAAAGCAGATCCTTAATTTTTGTTAACATTTATATTTAAGAATTTTTTAAATAGAAAAACTGATGGCATATTCATTAACAACAATAAAGAATCATATCTTCATAAACTTCTAAAGTGTTTAATTTTTTTGGAGCGAATCTGACTTATTGAAGTGATAACGTTTCTATATACTATTATTATTATTATACTACATTCTACACTGTAATTATTACGGAAAATTTATGCTTCCACATTAAGCCTGAATTAATTAATCATACCTGCTTCAATGAGTTCCTATCACCTATTACTAAATCTTCAGGGAATCCCGTATGTACTGTACGTATGTACGTACGTACGTGCGTCACCTGTATCCGCAGATTCTCAAATGTAAATGAATGACTTATTAAATCAAAAGCAGAAGTGTAACTAGTAAGTTTAATCATATAGGCAGAAATTTTTAGTAGAGTGCTGTGACTATAAAATTATGTGATTATACTCATAAAAACTGATAAGTAACGGATCAATTT